CCCCCCCCCCAGCCCCCCAGGCTGGCATTCCTCACTCGTGAAGCACAGTCATAAATCACGGCTCTCTCCCAGACCCACACCAGGACTCCCAAGGCCCAAGGCAACAGCATCCCTCGACTGGGAGTGGGCCAGTCGCTCCAGAATGGTGGGATTTTTCCAGGGGCTTACCCACAATGCAATAGGTTCTTAAGGAGCAGCCCCAGCCTCATCTGCAAGGAAGACCCGCCTGCTATCCTTTCTTCTGGATCCTAGTTGGGTACCCACCATCCAACCTTAGCTGGGGAAGAGGTGGGTGTGCTTCTCAGGGGCACATGCCCCCACCCACTGTTCTCAGCTTCCCTTCATACCTACCCAGATCCCCCTCAGTCCTACTCAGAGAGGGCCAGATGGGGACAGGGGGCACACAGCAGGGGAGGACCTGAGTTCTCTGGGGATGAGGTGGGCAAAGGCTGGGCTGACAGTTGAGGGGTCGGTGGCGGTGGGTGTTCTGGCAGAGCTCGGGGCAGGCGTCCCCCAGGTGCTCAGAAACCACCCTTCTCAGCAGGCGGGAGGGCGGATGGGAGGCAGGGAGCACCTGTCGGCCTAATCACCGTCATTAGCTGGGCAATAAAGTGGCACGGACTGGGCCAGCCTTTGAAGGAAGGGCCTGTCGGCCCAGGTCCGGTTTGCACAGGCAGCCTGGCAGCTCGTCTCCTCCTGCACACACTAGGGCTGTGGCAGGCGGATGGGGCACCGCAGGGACGAGGGTCTGCCCCCTCTCTACCTGGGCACCCGCACCCTTTCTCCCACTGCTTCCAGAAAGGTAAGGAGGTGGAGCTCTGGGTGTCTCCCCGAAGCTGAATCTGCACAGTGCTGGGACTCAAGAACTTCTGTGGTAGTGAACTCCCTGTTGCTAGAGAAGATGAGTGAGGCCAGACACAACCTAGGGACAGTCTGCCTCATGCAGCTGTGTCCCCAGTTCCCAGGACGGGGCCTGGCCCAGTGACTGTTGGGTGAATGAATGCATCCGAAGGGGGGCTTCTTGCTCCCAGAGGGAAGTTGGACCCGCTGCCCTCAAAGCCCCTTTCTAGACTGCTGGGTGTGGAGTGCTTGCTGTGTGACCCTGAACTGGTGTCACCTTTTTAAAAAAAATTTTTTTTAATGTTTTTATTTATTTTTGAGAGAGAGACAGAGAGACAGAGCATGAGCAGGGGAGGGGCAGAGAGAGAGGGAGACACAGAATCCGAAGCAGGCTCCAGGCTCTGAGCTGTCAGCACAGAGCCCGATGAGGGGCTTGAACTCACAGACTGTGAGATCATGACCTGAGCCACCCAGGCGACCCTGAACCGGTGTCACCTTTAAGCTCAGCACATAGGCCCAGATTTCTGAGCCATCTCCTACCGCTTCCCCTGTCCCCTAGGGCCCTGTGAGTGTCCTGTTTGCCTCACCCCTCCTCCTGCTGGCCAGCCCCAATCTCAGGGACAACTGGCAGCCAGAGAGCCCAGGAAAGACCTTCAGAGCCAAGTTTCCAAAGAGAAACCTGGCGGGGTGGAAAGGGGGCACTAGTCAGGGAGATGGAGAAGGTGGAAGCAGGGTTGTTGACCCCCCTCTCTGGGTTCATCTTGGCTTGGCCCTTAGGTCAAAAGCAGCTCTGGGGGTTAGGGTCCTCAAATCCAGGTTAGACCCCTTGGGGGCTCAGGCCGTGACTTCTCTGTCTCCCCAAAGTCTCAGATGGGAGGCTACTTCCTGAAGAGGAGGGGTGAGCTGCATAGGATGGAGGGTGGTAGAGCCAGGGGGTGCAGGGTGAAGGGTGGGGGAGGACTGGGATGGGCGAGGTCCTGGTGGGTACCAGCCTGAAGAGAGTGCCGCACGTAGCCTCCGCCCCAGTCTGGGCCCCATTAGTCATGATCGCAGAGCCATGAGGTTTTACTAGGGGCAGCCAGTCAAAAGTGAGCCCTCGACTTCAGGGAG